TCTCTCTCTCTCTCTCTCTCTCTCTCTCTCTCTCTCTCTCTCTCTCTGTTCCATTCGTACACTTCCTAACCGAAGAACCTTCTCAGACAGCAATCGCTGACACGTTCTCATTCGTATGTTGTAGTCTGGCGCAAAGATCAACATCTCCGACGGATCTTGTCCGGAGCGAATAGTGACAGTGACAGGGCCGACGAATTCGATCTTCAAAGCATTCACGTTGATCTGCAAGAAGTTCGAGGAATGGTGCTCGCAGTTCCACGACATCCAAGGTGGCGTAGGCGTGCCAAGGCCGCCAATCACGCTCAGGCTCATCGTGCCCGCGTCCCAGTGCGGCTCCCTCATCGGCAAAGGGGGCTCGAAGATCAAGGAGATCCGCGAGGTGACGGGCGCGTCGATCCAAGTCGCCTCAGAGATGCTTCCTAATTCGACGGAACGGGCGGTGACCATATCTGGCACCAGCGAGGCCATCACGCAGTGCATATATCACATCTGCTGTGTTATGCTAGAGGTACGTACCCCAGCTGTTGTACGTCCTCTCGTAAATGGCGCCTTGGTCCCCCGCGTTACCTTCCGTTCACAATTTTTCACTTACTTCCAAACGAGGAATCTTTTAGGGACTAGGTGAAGAAACTAGAGGATGTAAAAATATCCGAGGAGTGTTATTTGCTTTACGATTTAAACGACAAAGATATCGCCGTGACTCTGACTCACAGTCAATGTCACGTCACCGTCCCGATAAGAACGCCCCCTTGGTTTCCAGAGTTCAGTGATAATGAAAATTACGTAGGATTATAAACAAGAACGTTCCCGAAGCGACGAGAATTCTATTTATACAAGTCTCGGACACGCAGGGAATAGTGCTAACTAGTAACTTTGGACCGCGCGTCTTAACCTGTGTGTATTCCAAGTAACTCCCACGCGAGTCCCTTCGGAATACAAAAGCCAAGAAGAGAAATAAAACTAGTCGCGTAACTAGGTCCGTGTGGAGCTGGCAGCCCACTTCGTGGGAGCTCATAAATAAATAAAAGTTCCGATATAATAAATAGAACGTAATAAGACCGAAAGAATTGTTGGATGGATTCTAGCGTGCTAAAGATAGTCCAGAAGAGTTATAATTGATAGAACTATTAGTTTCATTGATCGGGAACTATAGAACTATCGACGCTAATGTCGAAACTCTTATTTATTAACGAGCTTCCACAAAGCGACCCGCCAGCTTCAGACTAGAGCAAAACCAGAGGCGTCGAATAAAATTACTAAAATAATTCTTGGCCGATGCATTCCGAAGGCGTGTACCGGTGGGATGGACCAGGGCCGCCACCCCCCGAAACGAAACTCGTCGCGACGATTAGTCGAGTGATCAGTAATCGGTGTATTCGCACTCGTGCGTGTGTTTTCTTTCTGTTTCAGTCCCCTCCCAAAGGTGCCACGATCCCTTATCGCCCCAAACCCCAAGTTGGTGGGCCAGTGATCCTGGCTGGTGGGCAAGCCTACACCATCCAGGGTAATTACGCGGTGCCCGCCCACTCCGATGTAAGTACAGTATTGCCATTGCCCGCGCCCGCTGCCGGGCACACCCCGCCCTCGCTGAACACCCAAACTTTGACGACTTCGCCCTTCGCGGCCCACCCCTCCTCGGCCTTCGCCGCTTCTCACGGGCATCCGCTCCTATCCACGGCCCACCTTACGACCCCACATCATCCCCTCCACCCGAGCCCCTTACACGCCAGCGTGGCAGGCCTCGCCGACCCCCTGCTGAAGAGTGGACACTTGCAGGCAGCCCTCCCGCCCGCACACCTCGTGGCAGACGCCGTAAGTCTTTTGTTTTTCGTGATCCACCCTCTCCCGTACCCCACCACGAGAAATAACTACCACCAGAACCCCAGCCGGTACATACAATCACGTGTAATATACCAGACCGCGAGCGGACCTATTACTCTGACCCCGGTGCCACCCCACCCCCCTCACCCCACTCGATATCACCTTAAGCCAACCCGTTCACCACGCTGCAACACGCTCTCCGTGCTCCACTCGGATTACGAAACCCTCCCACACGACCCCCCCCCCCAGTCCGACGATCGCGGTAATTGGTGGAAGTCTGGAGCCGTTGTTTCCGTGATTCCTTTGTCGGTGTTACTGATTCGTTCATTTTTGCTTTCTTTTTAAGGGACGGCGTCGCGACCGAAACAAGCTATCAGTAATTGTCGAGAACAAAATTTTGAAACTTTGTACTTTTATGTAGGTTTTGACGCTGAATTCAATGGTGTAAACAATTCTTTTTTTATTTTTTTATTTTTTTTTTTTTTTTTTTTGCATTTTTGAAAGAAAAGTCGGATCGGAGAATCGTCGTACCGAAGCACCTAACTAACGATACTTGAATTCAACTTGAACCCATAATTCAAACGTTAAATTATTGTGGTATTATAGGGGTATCGAAGCACTCGACAGTACACGAACATTCAAAAATTATACACCCGTGGTACAGGAATACCTGCAGTTCAAACATTACATTATCGGAATAGTCCCGGGTCCGCACGGAGCGTCCAGTTTTCACCAAATGCCGCAGCGTCGCGTAGAATGTTTGCCCGCGTGTACCGGAATGCTCCACTGTTGTATAGGCCACCTGGTCCCCGTCCTGACGACCCTTTTACCCCGAACCTCGTCCACGTGCATGCGTCCAAACACCTCAGCTTTCTGCTCGACGTCCTACGCGTGCAGCTTCGAGCGAATCACCCAAGGAGAATGAGATTTTCTATCGATCGAAGACGCGACTCCGAGACACCGAATATATTCGAGATATTCTCCGGATATCCTCATATATCCCTGTGGAAGACTCGAAGCTGCTCGGAGATTTCCAAATCGCGCGACTTCACGAGGAATTCGTGCTCCTTCGGGTTTCTAGGAAATTACGCACGAATCTTCTCGAAGTTTTTCCGCGTGTTATTTTTCTAAGTACCGAATGGAACGATTCCGACACTTTCGTTGAAGTCACGCGTTGGTACGTGCTTTGCTTTTCATGTGATCCGCACGTGTCTGTTACGTGTATCGGCCGTCTTTGGATTTTTCTTTTTAATATATATATATACACACACATACAAGTTGTATGTGTGTGTGTGTGTGTGTATCTATACCTACCATAAATGTTCACCAACGCTTCCGATGTTACTCCCAGCTGAGGTCTCGGTGTTGTGTCTCTACCCTTTCTTGTGCTTGCGATTGGTAGTGGGTTGATTGCCTGAAAAACCGCTTGCCGTCCTTCACGGTGCCAAGATTAATTCGTTGCATGCGACATAAGATATACACGATCGTACAAGAACGCGCGATAAGCACGACTGTTAGGAAACAGGAGCGTTTCGTCGTTGATCGTGCACCGTTGTTCAAACCATTTCAAAGTTTCCGCTGTCGTCGTATAGAAGGAGAATCGATTGTCTCTCTGGACGATGATATTCGAATAGCAAAGTATAATCATAATTTACGAAACCGGCATCTTACCTCTGCGACAAGAAAAGATAAAGTACGATCTCCGTTTGCGAAAAAATAACGATTCGTTCTCGGCTGCGACGTAAGCCGCGGTCTTAAAGTTATCGCACCCTCGCAGCCGAATGGTTTTTCCTTCGCGCGCTGGACTCTCTTGTTGCCGCGAAATCGCCGCGGTATATTATGCAAATCGTCGACATAACGTCAAGCGGTCGATTGGAACCTGTTTATCGCGGTCGAAGTTTAACGACTCGAGGGCAGCGACTTCGATTCCAAGCCGGTTTCAGAGTTTCCGCTGCTCGTTCGTCTTTTTTTTCGCGCAGAAACCTTGATCTCCATCGCGAGGGTAGCAGCAACGTCTAAATTGTTCGATTGGGGAAAAAATAAGAAGGGAGAGAGAGGAGCGATTAAAAATTGAGTATCAAGTGTGGTGCTCGCCGCGCGATCAATCCTCGAGGAACTTTAGGCGAAAGCGTTTCTCCGCGAACGATCGAGATGCTTCAGTACGATCGCTTCAGCATCGATCTTTAGAAAGATCGCGATCCGTCAGCTTTAGCGATGTCGACTCGTTGGATCGATCGGTGCCGCGAAACGCCAGCCTGATAGTGGTCCATGCGCGAATTGTACCGCAGATAGTAAATAAAATCGGTAGTCGATAGATGGATAGCGTTTGGGTTAAAAAATCTTCACGAGTCGCGGTTCAGTCATCTGTAAAAAAATTTGTATCGTTCTCCCATTGGTCGTCGCAGAGTCCGAAGTGGGAGAAACGTTCAACGAATCGCGCGTTAGAGACTTATTTCCAACGATGGAGGTTTCGTTCCGTTCGTCGAAGCAATTGATTGTGAATTTTCTATCTCTCGGTGCGAACGACGCCCGGCAAACATAATTACCGGCTTTAACGTCGACGTTTGCTAATTAGGAACTCTTTTTGTGCGTGGACGGAGCGCAAACAGCAGCGCGTTCTCTGTTGACAGATTGAATTATTCGAAGGGTGCATTTCGACGCTCGTCGGGGATTTCCTGTCCAAATAAACTCGTCCGCGTTGCGACTCGGTCGGAATTTTGAATCCGTAAACCGTGTGCACGAGAACAGAAGCGCGAGGAGAATTTTCCAGCTTTTTTCCCGATCGTTACTCGAAACCGATTCGCTCTGCGCGCACGTAAAAATGCGTTACTCGTGGAAAATAAATGTAGGGGTTGTTGCGCGCTTGGTAGAGCCGTCCCAAGGGTTGCGCATGCTCGAACGAAGGTTCTAGACGCGCGCCATCTGGACGAACCTAATTAGAAGCTATTTGAACTGCTATCAGGGCGGCGTAACGTGGTTGTAAAACATCGCAATGATGCTATTTTTGATGATACCACCGTGACTCATTGTGTACTCGGTTGGAAGATAAAATTAACCGCGTTACTGTAGGTCAGAGCTGGGTAGTAATAACAGCCCGGTCACTTTTGTTCGCGATTACCATTTAGAGATTACAAATATCTAATTTATCGCAATAACTTTTTTATTCGATTACTATGCGTTACGCTTTATTTAACCATCGGTCGAGCGAGTAATCAGCGTTAATTAAAAATAGAAATGAATTCGCGTCGTTGCACCGAAGGATTACTGTATCGACGAATCTGCCAATTGCAACGCGATCACTGTCGAACTCTGGCCTACACGAAGCGCGTATACTCGACCGGTCCTCGACGCGACGAAACAATCGGGAGCGACGCGTGACTGGCGAGAAAATCGAGAACGGTGCTCGACTCGACAAAACGATTATGATCGACAGAACAATCGAAACAGCGTGGCGTCTGATGATGCGTGTCCTTCAATCTCCCGGGATTCTTCTGTTTCTCTGCGCTTTTCGACGGCTGACGCCGGAGCCCGACTTCCACGGTTTCTAATTTTTTTCGCAACGAGACGCAAGCGTCAGGGAAATTGAGAAACGAGGGGAAAAATAAAAGTCGAGCTACAGGTCGGCGTACAGCACGCGGCTTCGACGGGCTCTCTGACCTCTTGTTCAGTTTTCTCTCTCACCTATCTTGGTTTCTTTTCGTTTCTGTCTGCTTCTTCCGTTTTGTTGCTCCCGTGTATCTTTCTTGAGAGGTGTGTCGTTCCGAGAGAAACGCCCGGCCAAATCTGTTTGAGATGGGTGGAGGAGGGTTGGGGGTTGTTCGACCACGACGCTAACAATAAACGAGCGCCGATAAACAGTGTTCGGTGTTGTTCGAATAAAAAGTGATCGTTCGTTGTTCGACCGATGAAATTTCGCTAATTACTCGTTACTCGTTTATGCGTCGTGTTATCGAAGCGAGGGTCAATTTTACCTTGTCGATCTGTAGTCGAAGACGGGTGTGGGGAGTAGGGTGGAATGATCAATTAATCGAAGACTTGCGAAGAATAAGATCGAGTTACTTGTTATTCGCGAATAACGAATTAACCGATTTTATTTGTGGTTTTCTGTTCGTTGCCTTTTTATTTGTTATTCGACGTAACTTTTTACCCAACACTGAAACAAAACAAAGACCAGTATGCATGTGTGGCACGAGAAAAGGTAGATTTACACGTATAGATTACAGATATATTACTACTACAATGCGCTTTATCTCTATTTTCACGATCCCCAATCAGTTTCTCAGTTGTTTTTTTTTTTTTTTCAGTCTGCCTGATACAAAACACTCTCTATCGGCTTACAGAACACGAATACTTGGCTTCTCGTCCTCCGTACTCTGTCTACCGAGTTTTCTGTTTGCGTTCTCGCTCTTCTCGTCGCGATCTGATCGGATCCCTTCTAATTCCAAAACCGCGTGGCGCACCCGACATGCTCACCTCTTTTACAGCTTGTAAATTGTATAAAATAGTAGTTACATACAAAACTTCCAGAAAAATCGAATTTTCTATGTATGTTTATATAACAATTTTTTTCTTTTTTCTTTTTTTTTTTTTTTTTTTTGTAAATATCGTATCTCATTTTTCATTTTGGTATTCGACAGATGAATGAGTTCCAAAAATAAAAGTGTAAAGGTACGATTATCCTGATATCAATTTTTCCACTCCTAACCACGGCAGTTTTGTATGGAACAATTATTCGTACAACGCATAATTTCTGAATTCAAGGTGACCACGCCGGGTGCCTCACCCTGTACAACTATTTACGACAAGAATAGCTGAACAAATACCTTTTAGCATTCCATATATAGTCCGAGCCAAGTCTCGCTAAAAGCGATCGGGATCTGTCCCTTGCAAGCTTGTTTCGGTCAAGCTTCGATAAGCTCGCTTTTGTCTCTCGTTACGATCGATGCTATACATAAAACTGACCTTTCGCTTATCGGGCATTGCTATCGCCGGAGGTGGGGATCGATTACGCGGCGTTCCACTCTCTTTAATTTCGTCTTAACTGAAAATAAACGTTCGCGAACGACGCGCGATCCGTTCGTCTCGCGCTTTTAACCCTCCGCCACATTGTACGCCGAATCGGGAACCTCGTTACTCTAAAGTTTACGGTTTGACGTAAACTTTGCGCGTTGACGAGTTGGGTATTACGGCTTTCGCCGCGATTCGATTGTTTCCCGTAGCGAACGGGAGAACTGCGCTGCGAACGTACGTCTCGAAAGGTAAACTTTTGCTCGAGCAAGATCACTTTTCCCTTGGTAGAATCTGTACTAAAGAAAGAGAAAGAAAAAAAGAAATCAACAAAGGTACGACGAACCGAAAGTGAAACACGTCGCTGAAACGAGCAAAAAGTACGTACACGCTTTCGCTTTTCACGGCTTCGCAAGAGAACTTCCCTGTCCCCGTCCTTTTTCGTATCACACTTCACGAATTCATACATCTTTCTACCTTCCTTCTTCTTCGAGACCAGACGCGTGCCTAGTTCGATCGGACGTTGCCACGACAGACGAGCAAAATTGTTCATTCGATTCACGAATGACGAATATAAATTTTTTAATACAGATTACGTATACACATTGTCCATATTGTAATTATTATTCGAAATTTTTTTTTATCCAATCAACGATTTTGCCTCATCTACGAGGTTCAACGATGCCGAGGCAACGCTATCGAGCAGGGCACTTAAAATGTTCTATCTGCGACTCTCTTTCTCTCTTCGTTCGTTTCTTCGTCTATCGCCCTGAGTTGTCCATTGTCCTCTCGCCATCCTATCTTAGAAACAGCATGGCTTTCAGCACTCTCTTTAGCTACGAATCAAGAAGTCCGCGCGAGGGTGGGCTGCCCTGACATCACGTTCCCATCATCTTAAGCAGGGTAGAAGTCACGTTGCGAAGATCATGTCTTTTGGTTTCCCGAAGCGCGACCTGCAGACGTTCGACGCTCCCGTTCCACGTAGAAGCGATGCTTACGCAGCGTCTTCGACGATTTTTATACCGTGGAACGTCGATTGCGGTCGAGTCGAAACGAATTGGCCGCTCGAGGTCGTCGAGTTATCGTCCCCACCACGCTGGCTGGGGTTGTCCTTCCTAGTCCACGCCTTACAGCGCTGGTTGGCTGTCCCCGCCACCTCGATTGGCTACCCCCGCCACCCAGCGCACGAACTCGTGCATAATGCTCTCAGTCTTCGGTGGACCATCGAGAGCGTAGCATCGAGCGACCAAAAAATTTCGATTCGACCATGGGGCGCTATCTGTAAAGTTTAAAGACATATATGTTATACCTAATGTGTTAATATACCGCGTGCACATAGGCTAGTCTAGATGATATTGCAGATAGAAGACCAATCATACCTTCGGTTTTCATGTTTCAAGACGCAGTTATATACATACACGAAGAGAATCCTAGATCTTTAACCACCGCCATCTCGATCCTCCTCACGGCAAGGAGCAAGAGAGAATGCAACGTTTACTTTGTTTTTTTTTTTTTTATTTTTATGGTTACTTTAAGTATATATCATTGTTTTCGTTCTCAACTCATCTAGCCTGTTCCGAGATCGTGTATGTACGTCATGGGTATGCATTTACGTACGGACGTTGCGGTTGTCGTAATTAGTTATCGGAATTTCTATTTCTCGTGTTCGAACCGGGCGGAGAGATTCCGACCGTAATTAGAATTTTACGTTGGTTCGTTGCGTTGTATCGTTTTCTATTAATTACGTGTTAATCGTTGTTTAGCGTGAACGATGCCGAGCAAATTTCAGCCGAGTTAGTTCGAAAGCTATCAGCATGACGAGCTTCCTCTTGCTATGTACGAGTAAATAATCTTCGAAGTTAAATTCGTGAACTTGGGACAATTTTCTGCTCGGGAGAGTCATTTCAAAACTGACGATTTCTTTTTCGAACGATTCCCAGAGGACGTCTCTTGTCATTTATATGTAGGAGATATAAATAGAAAATGGGTCACGGATTCACAGTTGTTTTGCTCTCGTTCGCGAAATTAAATAAAATCCTTAATGCGCTCGGAGAAACGGCCAATCGACGTGGAATTCGATTCTCTCTTAATATCGTATGGAAATGCGCAGCCAGTTGATATCCATGAACGGTTCAATTGAATCGTTCGAGCATGCTCGTATCGAACCATTGTAAAACGTCTTGTTTTCGTCTACAGTCGGATACGTAGATGCATGCTGGCCGGAGGTGGGCAAAATTATTACGTAGCCAAAGATTTCGAACGATGAACAAAAGATGAAGAAATTCAATTTGGTAGAATTATAAAATAACGAAATCGAACCGTGGTTCATTCATCCGTTATTTAAACAAAATTTTGCCCATGTCCGACGCCGTCACTCTCTTCTCTCCTTCATTTCTGTCTCTGTCTATCTCTGCCCCCGAGGTCGCCCAAACTTCTCATCGTTGTGTGAAAACAACGTGTCAACGATAGGTTCTCGCCGATCATTGCCACTCTCCGTTCAGATCACAAGTGTCCCGGATTCCTCGACTTCCGGTCCCCCCGAAAAATAGCGCCGTCGGTTCTCCGGACCGCCAAAGCTGTACAATTGCTACACACATCGCCGTGTAACTCGTTTTCTACAAGTTTGTGATAAAGAAGACAAGTTCTTCTAGCTTCGATAGTTGATTTCTCAACACCGTCCCTTCGTAAAGGTTCACCGTGACCCGCGAGATTGGTCGCGAGGATTCGAGCAAGACCCTGTTTCTCACTTTCTGGACCAGTTCCTGCCACGAAATTCGATCTGGACGGAATTAGCAAGCAGGAGGCTCGAATCATTTTATCGGCTGGCTATCAGCCCCCGAAACGGTGTACTCTGAGGAGAGGCCAGTAAGTGCAGAGTACACAGAGGCTCCCAGGAAGTCGGGACGCGTCCTGCTGCGGTCGAGGTCGTAGCCCGAGATTAATGGATCAGGAATCGAGGTGCTCGCGTGTCGACACGACCGTTAGAATCCAAAGACGATCGATGGGGGAGGATCATCGACGGAAGATCGGGACTAGACCGTTCTCTCTCTCTCTCTCTCTCTCTCTCTCAGTTCCTCTTTATTGTTCGAATGACGATTACTTTGTACCTTGTTTCTTTCACTTATATTTTACGTCCTTCGATGGTTCCCCTAATCAACGATCCTCGAATGTGAGACGCGCGAGGAAGCAGGCAGATATTAATACCATCCTTTTAGATCTATATATTTATCGGTGTCTTCTTATATCCCTGAAGCACTCTAACGATCCTTGAGCGGCGACACGTGTTTTTTGTTGAGCGATGGATCTCTTCGTCGTTGTTACAGATGGGCAAACTTGGTAGCAATCCCCTGGCTGGACTCGCGGCTCTGGGCCTAGGAGGCCTCGCCACACCTGCCAACACCGGCGGACTTAATCCAGCAGGTAAGACCAGGCTTCGACCCACCACTTGATTCAGAATTTTCCAACCGTAGGAATCGATATTTAGCTTCCTTCGCGAACTGTTCACGATGAAACCTCGATATTTGCAGGGATACCGTACGAGAACTGCAACAATCGAGGTAACGCCCTTCAATGAGCCCCTCCTCTCATCCCCACTACCTGTGACCACTACCACGTGACCCTTCCACCTCCACGTCCGTTGCTAAACGCGACTCTCCCCTCCATCGGTACAGTGCAACGAAGGAGGCTGTCCTGTAATGCGGTTAATGACTAGTTTTCCTATACTGGCTCCCTTCTCAACGAAGTTTTATACAATAAACAATTATTACATATTTTTGATATAATTTAATTTGACTACCTTACGAATTAGAAGGGCTCGTTTCTCCAAAACATTGAATATCGTTCCAAAAATCACTCTCGTAGATTCGATCGGTTCCAGTCTCCCAATAATAACTGCGCGAACGATTCTAACATCACGACGAACGTTTGCTTCGCAGCCCTGGCAGCGCTTGCCGGCAGCCAGCTGCGCACCAGCAATACAAACAGGCAACAACCAGCGGCGAACAATCAGACACACGAGATGACGGTGCCAAACGAGCTGATCGGTTGCATCATCGGGAAGGGCGGCACCAAGATCGCCGAGATTCGTCAGATCTCCGGCGCCATGATCAGAATCAGTAACTGCGAGGAGAGGGAGGGCGGAGCCACGGATCGTACGATCACAATAACAGGAAATCCTGACGCCGTTGCATTGGCACAATATCTCATCAACATGAGGTGAGTACCGCGGTACCAGAGCGCTCGCTGTGGTTACCCAAGCCTCGAAGAGACAGCGTCCGACTTGGAACGTTGGACCTGATCCCTTAAACACCTCAGCCAAAAAAAAAAAAAAAAAGAAAAAAGAAAAAAAGAAAGAAACAACCCGGTTCAATGTTACCCACGAATTTATTTTCTGTTTGAAAGAGAAGAAGCAAAACTTCCATTTTTCCCATCGAAACAAGTCGAACTCGTCCCGGCTACGTTTTGCGCTAGATACGCGATATATACATTTGCTCCCCCGAAACACCCTACCTCTCGATCTATCTGATTTCTTTCTTTCTCATCAAATAAAGAACAAGAGAAAAGTGGAAGACACCGGCGTACGCGCCGCACCACCACGATTTCAATTGTGTATGTCGTCGGTGTAGTTTACACGTTTAAGATCCTCGACGAAACAGTATATACACCACCCCCACCCCCCCCCCCACCCTCAACACCCTACTCGTCTGTTTTTGTGTTACTCGTTCCTCCCGTAATTGACCTTTCTTAGCCTCGGTGTCTCGAAGGTGATCAGCGAGACTAAGGGAATAGTCGAGAATCGCCGTCATCGCGACACCTCTCCTGTCATGTTTGTTATTGTTACTGTTGGCTACGCTGACGACGCGCTGGTCAACGACGAAGACGAGCTCGTTGAACCGTCTATCGCAATTCGTTTGATATGTAACTCTACGGTTGACAGAGACTGTTTATAGCAATGCTTCGATGCTGCAATTCAACGAACAAATCGTTAACGTTCATCGGCGCGTCGACGCGAGCAAAGTATCACGGAAAGAGGTGGCGCTACCACTCGAACAGCTTGCACAAGGGAGCCAACGGTCGCGTTCCCGTCGCCGGACGTTCTCGTCAGAGTGTCGTAGCGCCACCTCGGTCTCTAGCGTAAACAGGTGAGATATATATGTATCGTAGTCGTAAGGTTATACCATAGCACAGAAGACGTCGCTGCGCAGCGAATCCGGGGAATCACCGTCAACGCGGGGTCGCCGGAAGACACCTTCGTCTTGCCCGCGCCGGAAGAGGATCTTAATCCTTTATTTCCAGGTCCTGCTTTCCAGGTCCAGTACCCTGAGTATCCTGCAGAACACATCTCCGCTCAACATCTGTTTCCCAATTGTCGCTGGCTGTCCTTTCAAGTAAAAAAAAAAAAAAAGAAATACCGACAGAAACGACCAGTCCAGTCGAACGATTCCAGCTACGCCGTTCCGTCGATTATCGATCAATCCCGAAGAGTCCCGCGCAAGCAAATGCATCACAATGTTCCATCCCTTCGATTCGGTCGCTCGACGGTTCTGGCATCTCTTAGGGGCACCACCTTTGGCGAGGGGGTTGATTCTAGCGATTTCTTGAGATGGGTATACAAGGTTCTGATCGGTGTAATGATTCAGTTCGATTCGCGTGAAATTTCACTTGAAACTGGAACGGGCTATTGTGTTTTTGAGATTAGAAGTCGGCTCGTTAATTAGTCTCGTGTATCGATGAGAGATAGCATCCTTGCAGCGAACACGTATATATCATCGAGTCACTAGTCCATTATCGTTCAAGATACGTTGAACGAATATATAACAACGAATGCATAAAAGTATAAGCAACGTTGGAAAAGATCGAACGAGCTAGCAGTAACAAGTAACGAAATTAGTTTCCGGTCTCCGAGGGATTCGCGGAGAAACACCGCCATCGCCAAAGGTCTTCGTAGACGCATCTTTATATTTTTTTTTTATTTTTTTTTTTATTTTTTTATTTTTACGTTCACCCATCCCCCGTGGTTGTCATTATTGCGTGCCATATAAGTGTTCGGTAGTGAATGTCTGCAGATCTGTTCACTTCCTAAACAAAAAATCGTGTTATAGGACTAACGATACCTTTTCCACACAACGGCGATGCTTGAATGCCGAACGATGTTAACGTAGTCGTCGACGAGATTCGAGGAGATCGAACGCGTCCTGTAACGCGTTTGCCTGTCCCTAGAAGAAAAAAAAAAAGGAGAAAAAAAAATAGAAGTCTCCCCCCACTAAAAAACAAAGAGAGAGAAACCCCCACGCCCCGACCCGAGAGCAACCCGACCAGCCAAAACGAGCGTTCAAGTAACATCAGCCGCTCGAGAACGCGAGTCGAAAATACCTCCACACTCTATTCCCCCCCCCCCCCCCCCACGTTATAATTATAATCCATTATATTTTATTCCAGATTGTCACTCATAATTTAACTACTGCATTTAATAGCGACAGAATATTCATCAATCCCCCCGAATACTTCTTGTACCCGCTCATAACGTGGTAGCCAATGATTGTTACATATCCAGCACTCCCGTGGGCGAGGACCCGCACTCCGCGGCGTCCAATCGCGGCCCACGAGCCAATTATCGACCACGTTGGTATCTGCCAGATCGGCGACAGGCTGACATTAGCTCTTGGCAGAGCGCGGGTCCTGCGCCCCGTTTAGTTTCGACGTCCGCTTTTCAGTGACTCGGCAGAGCTATGGCGCGTTCCGCGAAATAGCGCGCTTCGTTTCGTCGCTTTGTCAAAGTATCCCCGATGACGGGACCGCGTGAGTTCTCGAATCCTCGAATTCTGAACGTTCTTGGTTCAACGTTCTGTTCGATCGTCGCATCTCGCGGCGACGTACCGTGGCTCTGTCGCGCCAGAAAAATGGACGCTGTATTCGCGAACGGTGGGTAGCAGTCGTGTCGTTCGTCGCGGGAAGAGACCCGTTGAGTCCTGTAGGTAGTCTCGGTAGTCTTTGTTTTCGGCACCAGCGAATACAGGTCCCTTTTTCTGGCGGCTCCTCGCAGCGCGTCTTTCGCGACGGGACGCGAATGGTCTGTGATTTATCGCCCTGAGGAAGGGACGCGTTTTCATCCCTGGAACAGGGATGGCCGCGTCCTACGCCCGCGATAGTCGAGATCAAAGCGCGTCCCGATGCGACCGACTCTCCCCCTACAACCCCTACACCCCCACGAACCACCACGTAGCCGGTGTACGTGAGAGTATCACGCTCCATAGAGCACCTGTGCCATAACTCTCTGAAGCCTTTAAAACCTTTTTGCGACTTGATTTCTTTCTCTCCGTTATTCACGCTGCGATTCTTTTTCTTTTTTTCACTCCGTTAATCGATAACTTCTTGTACTTTGTAGCGGCCCGGTTTTATAATTTAATGTCATATATCACTCTCTTTGCCGCGCGACACTCTTTACTTTGATTTTTTCGTTTCCGTTTCTATCTCTGTCACTGATTCTTCTCATCTGTCTCTCAGAAAAAAAAAAGAACAAAATAGAAAACACGGATTACACACAATTGCACACACGGAACATACATGAACTCGCACACATGCATGCATACATACATACATACATACATGCATACATCCATCCATACATACATACATACATACATACATACATACATACATACCGTATTAGAGGAACGTTCCCACCCTCACCTTTTTACATTTTGTGTCTTTTCCCCAGTGTTGAACTGCAGAAAGCTAACCTAGAGGCCCAAAATACCCAAACCCCTGGCAGCGGTACCACTCCCGGGGCATCCGGGGCCAGTGCTTCTCCCTCTACCACCACTACCACTGCCTCTCCCTTGGCCAGCGCCATTCCCTTGGCTCAGCTGCTAAGCAAGCCAGGCGCCCTCAACGCCCTATCTAGCCTCACCGCCCTCGGCGGACTCACGGAATTGCTAGGTGGTGCTGCGGGCGCGGCTGCATCCGCGCTTCCGGTCCAGACAACCGGGGTGCACCGGTCGCATAAGTTCACGCCGAGGCTACGTAGTCCTGGCGCACCGGGACCAACCGAGAGCAAATTCAAATCCGAGCGCGCCAAGTACAACCCGTACTGAGCCAGCGGACGACCACCGACGGAGAGACGGGACAGGGAGATCATTACACATTCTACACGCATTACTCATCACCACCACCGACTCCACGACCACCACACACTCACGGAACACGAAATTTACATCGGAGAAACGTGCGTACGGACGCCAGGGTAGCGCGAGTCCGGATTCAAGGCACAGCCGAGGATCGGACCACGGACATTTATATCATGGACTTGATTCCCTCTCGATAAGGGATACATTAACGATGATTAACGCGTAGGGTAAGACAACGACTACGATACTAATCTTTCGTTTCTGTCTTGCCGATTCGATCGAATCGGTTAGTAACCGAGTACGGTGAATACCTCGTGCCGATATAAACGAATAAGTTCTCTTCCATTTTACAATCCGAGGGTTCGTTACCGAGATATGAGCAGTTGAAGTTTTCACAAAATGGCGCCCACGGTAGACCACCCCAGTAAACTTTGACCACCCGTATCTCTACAACGAAACTTCCGATTGCAAAATAGTAGAAGACTTTTCAGTCTATTTTTTCACGAGGAATTATTCTCTCCATTCGGTTACGAGAATATTCCATTTTGACTCTTTTTTTTTCCCCCGTGTTTCTTACCCTCGTATGAATCTTAACGTCGATAGTTTCGTTAGAATTTCGCATTTGCCGTGGATGAGATCCGACGCTGAGTCTTCGGACCGTTCACACTAGCGCGACACGTCCTCCGAGTTCTGCGCAGACGCAGGCGTGTCTCTCTGTGCCAGCGCGTGGGGTCGCGAGAGAGATTTCGAATCGGTGATTGCTTTTTCTGTTTTTACATTGCGTTGTTTACATTTGTTTTTCTCCCCCTGTCGATTCTTTTTTTTTTTTTTTTTTTTTGGCTTTTTGTAATTCTATAGTATCGCGTACGATACCGTCTGAATCTCGGTACCGATTCGACGCTCTTCCTCCCACGCGACTCGGAGGACGCTGACTGCTTGTGCACCGTCGCAAAGCAGCCTTTTATATATACATATATATATATATAAATATAAATATAATTACGATGAATTATTAATTGATTAATGTTTTTGATGCAAGAAACATCTTCTTACTTAGCGTTAGGGATTCCGATGTAATTTTTTCTCGTAGTTATAGCCGACCAATTGAATCGAGAGAGGTGTTATTGGCGCGAGTGGAACCGAACGAACGCGAGATTAGAGAGAGAGAAAAAAAAACAAACGTTTAGGGGTGTATGAGAGAGACTTTATATACACGTATAAATATTATCGATTTTTTTGTTTTGGTTTCTTTTAAATTATGTCTTTACAAAAGGGAGAAGGAGTAGACGAGTATGTAAAGTATTAAGGAAGATGAAAAAGAAAATTGAGAGACAAACATGCGTCGTGCGTAGATGCACAGTGTCGTAATCATGTAACGTGCTTTAGAAACGTCGACAGACTTCCTCCGGAAATGGTCGAACCGACCCGACCGACACAGATAGCGAGGACGAGAGAGAGAAAGAGAAAGTATGAGAGAGAGAGAGAGAGAGAGAGAGAGAGAGAGAGAGAGAGAGAGAGAAAGTATGAGAGAGTAATCCGAGAGCTTATCGTGCCTCGTTCAGGGGTCGTCAGTGAATATAAATTTATATATTCGATTTATCAGGTAATCAATCAATTTACAATAGTGGTCATTTTATTGTAACGATATATAATTATATACAATAAACAGAACGTAATCATTCACGAGGATACACGCTCGAATTATATATATGTACCGGATAGAAAGAAAGTAACGATTCTCCAGCGAGTTCAGATTATTTAGCGTAACCGAGGTTTTAGATACCTACACGTATACAGACACACACGTACACGCATATACGTACACCGGGACACAGAGACATACAGTACTCGAGTGAAACAGACACGTGTCAGGTCGTGTTTTAATCGAAGATTAAAACGTAATTGTACCCGCCCCGCGCATCGATCGTCTTTTCTTCTTGATCGCGCGCAGAGGACAGAAAACTCTATTGAAGAATAACGTTTAATTTTAGTGCGACGCGAACGAATCCGAGTCGACAGCTGATCGGCCGAGAAGAAGAAAAGGCTCGTACGATGCGAGATCGTACGTTCACAATGAACGATCCGGCTGCGTAAGAGCGTCCAGATCAATGTGTGCTCAATTTCTAGTTTGTAGCGAGGAGGTACTTGCATATAGTGATCAATCAGGTGTAGTTTTACGATTGAGTGACACGTTACTCGTATATCGACTCGGCGCGACTTCGTGACCGCGGATTGTCGGCTTCTATGTATTAGTGACGCATGGGAAAGAGGGTAAAAACCCATAGACTGGTGCTACGAGAGGAGAAAGCGACCGGCTAGGGCACCATGACTCCCTCGTTCTTCGAACAGGCCCGCTACTCCCGCAGCTAGTGTTTTCTCCTTTCATAGCACGAGTCCTTACCCTCTAAAAATTCATCTATTCTCGCGTCACGTCCACCAAACATGCCTAAAAACAAAAGCTTTCGAGCGACGAACCGCCGCCACGACGTCGCGCCCTCGTATCATATACTTATTGTGTTCTTCATTCTGTACCACTCCGTAGTCTCGCCCCATTTCGTTTTCTCGTCGAGACAATAATGATTTTTCACACGTTAGCGACGATTTCCCTTCTCGGTGGAATCGTAAACAAGGATTAGAGATTACATCGTAGAGCGAGAGAAACGGAAGGTCGCTCAAGATTCAAAAGAGTATACACAAAGGATTTTTGTAGGTAAATAGTCTTCAATTGTATATTGGTCTCCATAACGATGTCGCAGAGCTTGTGTGCTTAACAGACATTAGCTACCCTGTATCACCTTGTTAAATAAAGCTAGGCGTGTTTAATACAATACGAGAAGAAACCATGTCGGCCTACCTCAGAACGGGGTCCCGCAATGCACTCGTGTGTTTTTCAACGTTCTCACCCGACGAGGAAGACGAAGGCTTGGTTGAATCAATCCAAGCGCCTGGGAAACGCGTCGAGCCGTGTGCACGCGTTTGTTATTTATACGTCCATCGATCCAGCCTCTCTGGGGGACTAATTATGATGCAGTACCTTGCGCGACCACGTTTACGGCGTGCTGCATTTTATTGTTGCTCTACCTCCTTTTTGATACGGGACCGAACCAGCCTGTTTCACGAAAGATGTTATGCACAAGATCCAGGCCTAATCGATGAACATCGGGGGCGAGAGATTCGGCAAGATGGCGACAGTCACGCGTTCGTTCTAGATCTCTGGTGAATTGCAATTTTATTTAGACATTTCATTTAGCTTTAAAGTAAAATTCACCGAGAAAATATCGCGGAATGTTTTCACGAGAGAACATCTAATAATGTTTGAGCCTGAAACTTATTGTTTGCCCGAACATTAATTAATTCATGAATGTGTACACAGCGGTGAGCGAAAGTTTCCAGATAGTTGCTTTGCCAACGTGAATTTTGAGAAGGTAAACAAAGATGAATTTTGAACAACAGTGAACTGGAGTATAACGAGCTACAAAGCAGAATCATGTAATAGCGTTCGTTCCATTTTTACAGCTGGAAGCTTTTGTCACTGTATAAAAATAATAAAAGACATTTTCCTGCAGGAGATGGTTAGATAAACGATGCGTAATTGTCACGTTTTCTCAAAGAGGAATCTCGAGTTCCAGGCTTGGTTACATGTCACGCGTCGATTAGGTCTGGACATAGCTGTTAACGAGCATGCACGTCGAACGTGCCTAGAGAAAAGTGTGTAACTCTAGAAAATGATCGCGTGGAATCTTCTTGGTGTACAGTAGAACCTCGATACTCGCAAGAAAACGGAGAGTCGTACAATTATCGAGGTAACTAATTAAGAGCATCCTTGCACAATGTATATGTGATATCTGTGGTCGTTACCTCTGTTCCTGCTTCGCTTTCTTCTTTTTACAACTTGACCCTTCGCATTTCCAACCGCGACCATTTCCACTTGCAAACAAACTCTTCCACCACCCCCCCCCCCCCCCCCCCCCCTCCCACCTTCACCCTTACCCATCGCCAAGTGATCCCATTCAATAGAATGCAAGGAACGAGGTTCTCGCGCAACTATCGAGGCCCTACTGTACCCTATACGAAAGAAACGTCGATGGAAAAACGTTCTTTACCCACTGTGTTCGCTGCTGTCACACAGGCAATCCTATATATAGCAACCGTGCATACATGTATGTATATATAGATATATATGTCGTGTGTGTACATACGTGCATGTACAAAACGTACCAAGAGTGGAGAGAGAGACTCGTACAGAAAAGATGTAGAGAAAGGGAGAGTTCAACCAACTTGACCCAGGCTCCTGCCCGTCTTTGGTAAGCACCATCCGCTCCTTTGTAGTCCCGTTAATCGACACTTTTCCCATTTTTTACGAACCGTTGGCTACGACAAAATTTCGTTACCTACATATATATGTATATATATATATTTTTTTTTTTTCAATTCTCATTTAACGCCCGTTTAATTTAGCCGATTTTTTTGTATATATTTTTTTTTTTCTCGACTCTACCGATCGCGGCAAAGCGTTGTTTCGGTCAGCCAGAATACAATACGACCAATCATCCAAAAAACCCCTCCGGAAACGATTCCACGAGAACAATAGACGTCCCCCTTCCCCCCTCGGTGTTCAATCTCGACGCACGGACGTGCAACATATTTTCTACGAACCGTCGCGAACTACACGCGATGCTTCGTGTTTACATTATATTTCAGTCATTTTTTTTTTTTTTTTTGTTCGAACATTGCACCATTTTTCCATGACGATTGTTCGCAGAAAATTTGTGCACGGTCAATCGGTCGAAAACCAAGAGCAGTCTCGCTCGCGACGTGGATCTTCCGTAGATCCAACGCATGTTACGGAGACGGCCGAAGAAGTGGAACTCGTTGCTCGTTTGGGAAAGTAGGGAAATCTAGATTCAGAGGAAATCTTGGGGAACAGTTTCTCTGCGACTCTTTTATTCAAAGTAGCACCCGAAGAGGTACTCTGATTCAAAAGTTCTACGAAATAACTTACAATTCAGTTAACGTTTGGTACATGGGTATCAAAAAGGACACGATGGCACTTATTTCCGATCAATAGCAAATCATAGTAGCACTATCAACCTTAGAGGAATCAACCTTCCTCTCAAGCTTTCGAACGTTTTGAGAATCCCCCAAAAAATGTCGAACCGCGCGAGCAACTGCAGTTCCTCATCTTCGCGCCAAACTCTACCGCGTCCAGTGCCAGCGTGGTTGCTACCCCCCCGCATCCGAGCTTAACCCCTCTGACGGACACGGCCAATTCTGTTTCAGGATATCGCAGGAAGCACCTGGAATCCCGATACCCCCGTACCACTTCATCCCGCCGGACCACATCGTTAAGTCGCCGATCCACTAAAAGTGGTGACACACACGTATGTCGTTGTCGTCGTCGAAAGGACGCGGGGCGTCGCGACGCACGCGAGGCTGTCAATGGCATCTGGGCTGGGCTGGGCCACGCAATGTGTTCAACCAGCTTGCTAATCGACACACTTGCAAAACGAACAGCAACAGATACGAACACACCGACAACAGCAACAAGAACATCAACAGTGGGAGAGGGAGACATTGACACACACACAAACACACACACACACACACACACACACACACACACACACACACACACA